AAAAAAAAAGTTGTCTCTTGTTTTCAATTCTTAGTAGAAAATAATACAACTTAATTGTAGAAAATTCAAAGGAAAAAAACTCAAAGAAGTAAGTATAAATCCTATTACAGTGGTCGGATGTAAATCTTGGCAATTTGGGGTCTAACTTTACAATGTGAAAAATATGATTATACATAATTTTGTTCTGTTTATTCACAATTAAAATTGCATTATACCCTATCATTATAAAATATCCATATCAAAAATCAATCTTCAATATTTTAGTGTCTTATTCTGCTCTAGATGCACTATAACTTATTCAATAAATCTCTTGATAATTGGAGATTTACTGTTTTATTGTTTTTATTCCTTTTACAAAACCACTAAAATGAACATCCTCATACATATATCTTTACTCACTGGGTGGTCTAAGCATGATGGCCTATCCCTTAGTCCCAGCTCCTCAGGAGGCAGTAGCAGGAGAATCATCTGAGCCCAGGAGTTTGAGGTTGCAGTGAGTTGTGACTGCACCAGTGTACTCCAGTTTAGCCTCCGAGACAGGATGGGACCTTGCTGCAAAACGAAACAAAAAAATCTATAAGGGCTTTTATTAATTTATTAGGTCAAAGAATACGTACTTTAAAGGGATGAATCACAGCTAGTTAAGTGTCTGAGTGCAGACTGTGAGCGCGTGAACAATGCCTTCAACCAGTGGAGCACTGATACAGTTGTTGGTTTTTTTCCCTTTGTGAATGTACTTTGAGAACTTTGTAAGAGGAAACAGTCCCCATTCTGCCATCATGGAGCACATAGTCTAACAGTGGAGACAGACATTAATCAAATGATGTTGAATAAGAGCAGATAGTCTAACAGTGGAGAAAGACATTAATCAAATGATGTTGAATAAACTGAAAATCATAGCCAGCTGTGGTGGCAGGCACCTGTATTCTCCACTACTCCTGAGGATCACTTGAGCCCAGGAGTTCAAAGCTAGCCTGGAAAACGTAGTGAGTCCCTGTATCTTAAAAAAAATAAAATAAAAATTACAGCCTGTGATAAGCATCAGGGAGAGAAGAGAGGCCCAGCCTATGAGTTGGCATCACTGCAGCTAACCCTACATGTGACTTCAGGAGAGTCACATTCAAGCTCAGGGCAGAGATGGAGGCAAACTTTTTTGGAAAGAAATTCCATCTATTTCGTTCCTACTATCATTCTTACCCCATCTCTCTCCCAAAAGTTGGTCACCAAGCCTATAAATTTGACCTCAATGCCCCTCCAAATGGGTCTGCTGCTCTCCCCTGCAACTGTTCCCTGCCTATGAGGGCCCCAGATATTACCTTGACCACTACTTCCGCCCTTCCTTCTAGCCCATCCGCCAGTCCACCTAGATCTTTCTCAGATGTAAATCAGGTGAGTCCACAATCATTCCCTGTCCCCCACTTTTCTCTAAAGCCCCTGTGGCTCCCTTTTGCCTCCACATGAAGTTCAGATTCTCAACAGGTCCCTGCAGTCTCCTCCCACCTCCCTGCCTCTCTCTGGTTGCATTCTTCCCTTCAAACACTGAATTTATTTCAGTTCCAACTTGTCTTTCTACCTCTGGCCCTTTGCACACACTGTTTCTTCTTCCTGAAGCATTTTTCCCTCATACCCTCCATCCTTGCCGTCTTCTTGGCAGGGTTTAAGTGACTCATCTCCACTCTGCTTACACATCACTTCCACCTTCTGTCACCCATCAAGGCTGTGGGAAGTGCCCTGTCCTCTGCCTCTGCACTCATCTTGTCCTTCCTCTTTCCTAACATTCAGAGCATTTGGGATTCCTGGTTTATGTTTCAAACCACATCACCACCCAACTTGAATATAAACTCCGGAGGGCCATCTCTCTTCTGCGCTGGCCACATTGCAGACACCTAAAATAGCACCTATCATATCTCCATATAAGGTATATGATCTTATAATGAGAAAATAAGTGAATTTCCTTTTTTTGTAGAGACAGAGTCTCACTTTGTCACCCATGATACAGTGCCGCGGCATCACAGCTCACAGCAACCTCCAACTCCTGGGCTTAGGCGATTCTCTTGCCTCAGCTTCCAGTGTAGCTGGGACTACAGGCACTGGCCACAACACTCAGCTATTTTTTTGTTGTTGCAGATTGGCCAGGGCCGGGTTTGAACCTGCCACCCTCAGTATATGAGGCCAGTGCCCTGCTGACTGAGCCACTGGTGCTGCCCAACAAGTGAATTTTTTAAAAATCAACTGGTTGGTTTCGCGTTCAGGTTACTAAAGCTTTACTTTATTGATAAAAGTCTCACAGTCTGGGAAGATAGGGCATTTCACCTGTAATTCTGATAACAGCAGCAATGAGGCTAGACAAGGCTGAAAGGACCATGGATGGAGGATCTTTTCATTTTTTTAACCAATAAAAAGTTTTAAATGTATCCAATACACAGATAGCCACATAGCATAATTCTAGGGCTTTGGGATGAGATAATGAGTGGTATTCCAAATCCAATACTTGCAAAACCTTGGGTGAGAGTGATAGGCAGAAGAATGTCCTCTTGAGTGACTACATCCAAATCCTCAGAGTCTGAGACTGTGGTACATCACACAGCACAGGGAAGCTGAGGTTGCAGATGGAATTAAGGTTGCTAATTGGCTGGCCTTAGAATAGATTATCCTGGATTGTCTGAGTGGGCCCTATATAATCAAAAGGGTCCTTAAATAAAGAAGAGGAAGGCAGGCTTGTCAGAACCAGAGGGATACGATGTGTAAGTTTCTCCACTAACCAATGCTGGTTTTGAAGGTGAAGGGGCTATGAGCCAAAGAGTGCAGGCAGCCTCCAGACGCCAGAAAAAGCAAGAAACTACATTCACCTCTAGAGCCTCCAGAAGGCCTGAAGCCCTTCCAACACCTTGATTTTAGCCCAGTGATGTATAATTCAGACTTCTGACCTCCAACCCCATAAGATAATAAGTTTCTGTTTTTTAAAGAGGTGTGTTTTCACTGTTACCCAGGCTAGAGTGCAGTGGTGTGACCATAGTTCATTGAAACCTCTGATTTCTGTCCTCAAATGATCCTCTCACCTCAGCCTTCCAATTATCTGGGACTACAGGTATGCACCACCATGTTTGGCTAATTTAAAAAAAAAAATTGTAGCAATGGGGTCTCACAATGTTGCCCAGCTTGGTCTCAAACTCCTGACCTCCAGGGATCCTCCTGTCTCAGCCTAGCAGAGCACCATGATGACCCAGACTGAGCCACCAAGCCTGGCCTATTTTAATGTTCGTAACAATATACTTAGAATGTGTTTCTGAGTATATTTCACAAATACATTTCTGCACTATCACTCATTGAAGTTTCTATTTGGAACTTTTACTTATACTGAATACATTTCAGAAATATGTGTTTTAAAATGATTGCCTAATCCAAGGGTATCATGGATTATTTAACCAGGTATTTGTTGTTAGACATGAGGGTATTTCTCATTTACTCCCTCACTGGACAGTTCAGGAAACTACCAAAGGCCTTAATCCAGCTATGTAAACTGTGGGCTGCTCCTCAGCAGAGGGTGGTCAGAGGTGTCTTATGAGTCAGAAGAAGCGTAGAGCACCCAGGAGAAAGCACCACCTGCGAGCCACGGTAGAGGAGCCAGACACTCCTGCACATGTCTACAAAAAGTCGGGTCTTGGCTGAGTATAATGGCTCACGCCTGCAATCCTAGCACTTCGGAAGGCTGAGATGAGAGGATAGCTTGGATCTGGAGTTTGAGCAACATAGTGAGATCCCATCTTGACAAAAAATAAAATAAATAATTCACTGAGCAT